CGATTGGCGAATGTCTTCTGCCGAATGTCTCATAGACATTCGCCAAGTTTTTTGGACATTCGCCTATTGGCGAATGTCTACTGGCGAACATTGGCGAAAGTTGAATTGGCGAACGGCGACACATCCAGCAAGGTTTATAGATGCTTCGCACTTTTTTTGTTTTCCCGGTAACGGGTTTTTGATGTAGATTAAAGGTTTCTGTTTTTATTGTATGTTTATCTGTGTTCACATATTGGTCCTGTTGTTACCAAAATAAAAATCAATCAATCGATTAATCAATCAATCAATCTGAAGCTAGGGCAATCCCCGTTATCAATAAAATTAAAAAAAGAATAAGATGAAAAATACATTCCATTTTATAATTTAAATATAATTCATAAGCTTTTTCATAAACCATAATATCTATTTCACTTGAATGTGTACTTTCAGCCTGTAATTGTGCAATAATAGTATTATGCTCATTAACTATGCCCACTAATCGTTGATCTTGAATACGACCATGTATTGGAATCTTAAAAAATTCATTTATGGACCCAGGCAAATCACGACTTCGTACTCTAAGCATATGAATGGAATCCAATAATGAGCCATTTTTACCACCAATATACAGATTATAGATGGATAGGAGCAAATAAATCAAACTTATAATAATTGTAACGGCTACATATCCTTTTGTATTTCGACTTAAAATACATGAAACAATTGAAGCAATAGCCAAAACAAGAATAACTGGCCGATACAATAACAAATGACCACCACGCATCATTTTCTTTTTACCTTCGTCACAGAGAAAGTGATTTCGATTTTTAGCACAAAAATTATATTTTGCCAGATAAGTTTTTCGTACCCATGCCGTAATGCCCGTTCGACGTGGTTCACCAATACCAACTTCAATTCGAGTATTTCGGGCTGTTGCTACTACACCCGCTTCGAGGTCTTGTGTTTGGATGTAAGACATATTGTTGCTTCTCTCAATGACTTGTTCTTATAAACTCTGTTTATTAAATCGTGTAATTTTTACAGCACCTAAAGCATATTGAAAAAAGTTTTCATATCTGAATATTTATCTCAATAATTACTACCTACCTTTCTCCCAAATTCTTATTTACTCATGGAGATAACAGTATGGAGAGGTCATGTTTTTTCCTTCATCACAACATCACAGTGTGTGATTACGGGGATTGTCCCTAAAGGTATCAGTGCAAACAAATCTGTCAGAAATAGTAACATGACTTCTTTTTCGAAGGTTACAAAGTTATATAAGTACCCGTTCATCATCTTTCAGAACCACTAAACCCTTGGTCGAAGGTCTGTAACAGAATGCCAAAAAAACCAGAATTAACGTCGCTTCCACATATGCTCCAGTTACGATCAATTAACTGTAAAGACTGACAATTTTTTTCATCCAGAATCATTTTTAACGGTTTTGAACTCATTTCTGTAGTTATCTCTAAAAAAATCAGCAGTTACAGTTATGACTTCTGGAATTAACTATTACATAATCACCACTATTGCACGCCTAGTGCCAAAATTTAGCTGCAAATATTACTATCCATTTCAAATTAAAATGTGTGTTCGGTGCAGCTCAATTATTTTCATAACGCAAACAGATAGCAACAAGCGTCTTTCTGTGCTTAAAAGTCAAGGTCGTGGGAAGAAAACTGGTAACCAAAAAAAATTTCGATCAGATCCTGAAGAGTTTTTGAAAAGATTTTCTGAAAAACTCGAGATTTTGAGCCATTCTGGTTTATTATTTTTTCGGTTTGACACTTCTGTATGATAAAACAGTCATTTCTGTAGAATCTCACAGCATCACGAATTGTATTTGACCTCGGGTTCAAGAGCCATGCCGGGGTCTTGAGAAACCCCCAAAACTCGGTTTTTCACTAATGATCTAACGGCCATTGAGAAAAAGTCCTTCCTTTCATGCATTCTTAGACGTTGGGTCAAAGTTATAAGCGGCAGTTTCATTAAAAGTAAGACATAACTGAAAGAATGTCGAAACATAAAATAAATTTACGATAGTTTATTCAGTAAGAATTATGTTAGTGTGTATTGAGGAAAGACCTTCGTAAAGGCCGTCGCTAGGTTATGGCTTTTCATATAAAAAAATCTGTCATATATGGTTGTTTTTTTTTATTTATCCACCATCCGTTCATTATCAACTGCATTTTAATACAGCAGAGTAGAATGGTATAACGTGGATCTCGCTTGGATTAGCAGATATAACGCGCAGTCATCTAGCGATGGAAATAGTAATGCACTCTCTTTTGAGTGAAACGTTTCAGACTCATAAATTAGACAGGAACAGAGTATTCCCTAACCAGTTGTTTCCAATATAGTTTGATTTTATTGATACTGCCGATTAAAAGTTATAACTAAACGTCCGACCCATGACTCATTCCGAACAATGGCCGTTAAATCATAAGGTAGTTTTTTTTCTTTAGCTCGATTCTAAATCGACATAGAAGAGTTAGGGGTTTTCGACATTGGCTCCGGAGTTGGTTACGTCTGCGTCCAAAATGTTTTGGAATATATGGGCTAACCTCTGAATATTGTACTGTGAAGCAAAATAGCAAAAAATTATCTAGATATGGTAGACAGCGGCCGATAAGCTTTCGCTGACGTTTTATTTTCAGTGGCAGCGAGTCAAAATTTTCTCGGGGACGGCGGCGAAAAATCGGCGACTAACACCTCTAAGCAGGAGAAGATGCAATTCGGAGTCATTTTCATCTGATATTGGTGAATAAAAATTATACCACTTAATACCACCTATTATCTCTCTGTATTCTTCACGAAATGACAGAGAAACGTTATCCGAAAATTGCAAACATTCTCGCGAGCCTTCGCACCGAGTATCCCGATTTTCCAGCTTCGAGAACTCGCATTTGCACACCTTCCACCCAAACGGTACAAGACAAATGAGGCTGCAAAAGAGTTCAGTGTCGAAATTGTTGGTCTACCGATAAGCATTGTATACTCAAACCGATAGAACTGGTCTGCACTCAGCTGAAAGCCTACGTTCGAGCAAACAACACTGCCTTTTGTTTCTCGGATGTCATCTCGTTGTCGCAGCAGTATATTGCTGCTCTTGACGATTGTTCGGTGTTCTTGAACATGCTCGTAAAGCTTAAATGATTTTTCGAGCGGCCGATCACTTTCTGGAAGAAGAAGTCGAAAAATATTTGATTGATGACGAGCGAAATCACGATTATGACGGTGAGATACTCAGCGAAGATGATTTTGATCAGGATGATTGAACACGCATCTTTTGCGTGTATTGACAAAAAAAATATATGACTGCCAATGTAGTGAAAAGATCATGAACAGATCGATGAACATAAACGCTTGAGAAAGTAAAAGTTCTATTATGACTTAGGCGAAAATTTAGAATAGAGAAGCTAGAAATGGTATATCAACTACATCAAACCCTTATTTTAACTGTGTACTTGGAAAATAGTTCCAGAAACTGTTGAAGAACGACCTTGTTTTGGAAGCAGTCATTACTATCGCAATCAGCAATATAGAAAACCCCTAACTTTTCTATATCGATTTAGATTCGAGCTAAAGAAAAAAAACTACCTTAGTAAAAAACCGAGTTTTGGGGGTTTCTCGAGACCCCGGCATGGCTCTTGAACCCGAGGTCAAATACAATTTGTGATGCTGTGAGATTCTACAGAAATGACTGTTTTATCATACAGAAGTGTCAAAACGAAAAAATAATAAACCAGAATGACTCAAAATCTCGAGTTTTTCAGAAAACCTTTCCAAAAACCCTTCCGGATCTGATCGAAATGTTTTTTGATTACCAGTTTCTTCTCACGACTCTGACTTTCAAGCACAGAAAACCGCTTGTCGCGATCTGCTGCGTTCTGAAAATAACTGAACTGCACTGATCACAGATTTTAATTTGAAATGGATAGTAGTTCTCCAGGGTCTATAGACTAATGTTAACAACAAAAACATTAAATATATATTAATTATCAATTAAATATTTTTCCACCTTAACTATATACTAGTCTGTTCAATATTTTTACGTTTTCAAAACTGAATATTTTTCCACGCTGTGCAAAAAACTTCAATATTTCTCTGTCCCATCCAAAAAATCCCGATATTTTTCTATCCTATTCCTAAAACTTTAATATTTTTCTCTATACCCAACAATCGCCCAAAGATACTTGCAAGCATAGGCGCTGTCGAATACGTATTGGTAGTAGTCGCCGAGCTACCGATGTCATCAGAATCGCTAAAATACCGCTAAAATACCGTTCGAATCTAGTTCTCAGCTTTCTTCGTTTTGCAGCGCAAGGAGGTTTTCGAACGGGAAAAATTCGATTCAAGTCAAAGTGCAAACTTCGACGAGTCTCTATAATCTAAAAGAAAAAGTTTAATCTGAAAAACAAATCAAAATGTTTTTACTTTTCTGCATTTCTTATATAGACTGACAACCGCAAAACAAAAAGGTGATTGTGCCAAAACGGTTTACCGACGGTGTTTTCTTGTACCGCGGTCTGAAAACTACCATGCGGCAACCGCTGGTAGAACAAAAAATCGTCGCTAAACCGGTTCTTATACCAAACGGTACGGTTAACCAGCGGTAATCTATAGACCGGTCGGTAACCGGTGGTATTACGAAAAAAAGTGCAACATGGGTAGTACTGCAGCAAGTAGTAATCTGTAACTTCTGCTGCATCTAAGAAATCGAGATATTCTTTTCGCTTTCTTTGCCATACATAGTGCCTGCTCGGTAGCTGTTGAAGAGCATGAAAACAATACAAACTTGTAATAATTTCTCAGTTTGGTCTGTATAAGGAAGACAAGGACAGTTGTTGCTCAGTAAGTATCTTTATGAGACAGGATGTCCTTATTCGGAAAGCACTTACTTAGTAAGGAAGGACTGCTATGCTTTTCTTCAATGGAGACTCAGAAGAATCAGAAATAATTTGAAAAGTTTCTGTCCAAAGCAGAATTTTTTTTCATTAAGCATTTGCTGTATTTACTGTATAAGTCTGCATCCAGTATATAGTTACCAAGTAAGCACTGCATTTCGCAGAATTTTTTTCAGTTATGAAGATGATCCAGTCATACGTCACCGAAAGCGCGAAAAACCAATATCAACGTCACGGCGTTCAGCTATTGGTACCCGTCAAAACACAAAACGTAAAAAACAGACATAAACTTGTCATCATCATCATCATCATCATTATCATTACTAGGCTGCTCTCGAGTAGGCGACCACTTGTACATATTATGAAGATGTGTTAATTAGTTTGTTTATTGAAAAATAAAAATAAAATAAAATAATCTCTTAAAAAACAAGTTTGATACAAATACGGTTCAACAAAAGCAAGCATAGCAAGTTTCGACCATTCATCATTACAGTAATTGATTGGTGTAATTTTTGACAGTCTTTTTGGCTTTTGCTCTTCTATAGTATGAATTATTCACAATTAATTCTAAAACAGAAAGATAATAGCAATACCAAACAGTCTAGTCAGATGTATGAAACTGATTATGCTAACCTCATAGAAGCAGACCATTTCTGCACCTTATTAAATATTTTTCTATCTTATAGCAAGAAAAATAGTTATTAGTGCAGATAGAAAAATATTCAGTTGGTTTTTAGTATTAGTCATTTAATATTTTTCTTTTGAACTTTTTTCGGTATACCCGTTCTCCATTGTTTATGCAAGTCCTACCGATCAACAGACTTAATAGTGCTGACATAATTAACTTCAGTCCGAAGTTATAAACTCTTCTCTGAAAGTTTCTTTAAAATTCTACTGCCTAAAAACGATTCATTTTCTTCCAGCTGATGATAATGTGAAATGCAAATGAATTCTTTCTGTCTAGTTAAAGGTTATTGTCTCTATCCATCGCGATTTTCAACTATACACCCGCTTACAGTGCGTTTCGTGAGTTAGGTCACTTAGTTAACTAGCTAGACAAAATACAAAA